TCGGAAATGTATATTCAAAATAGAACAAAATACGAAGATAAATAGTCCCTATGACAACTGCATGATCAATGTACGACAGAAGGAATGCGCATGGTCCGGTATACAGTGTCTATCCTTGCGGAGTTGTTAATTCTTGGCACTTAGACTGTTCAGCGATGGCCAGTTGACCTTGACTGTGATTCTGAATAACTCGCAGGCGACACGAGACTGCGTTCCAATATTGTCCCAGTTGGAGCAAGAGCCATTGAGGACCGGCTCTAAACCGTCTTTCATAGACCTTCGTCTGACGTACAACACTGGTGCACAAAGTCACAAGCTATACGGGGTCAAAAGTAAACGAGATTGAGAGATTGAATCAGGTCCAGAATGCGCTTCATTGGACTTCAAAACGTGTGAACCTTCCTCCAGATATTTAGACATAATAGTACTTCAGAAAATGAAAATAAGCTGGAGGGCTTTACACTCCATACGATGTTATCATAATTCGATGAAGATTGTTTTACGTTTCGTTGCTAGCGTTTTATTTCAACGGACAGAGTGTAACAGGTCAGAGCACAAGTGAATTTTTTGCGGTTCGCCTACGTGCATGGCTGAGACTAACCGGTGTAGCATTGTATAACTGATAGGGTGTGACCTACCGAAGAGAATAATGAGTCACTGGGGTTTACAAGCAAAAGAGCATTAATTAACAAGAAGCCTAAAAAATCCATGAGATGAAATAAAACCATAGTGTGAACCATTATAATAATCGTTTGAAAACTATACAATCCCGTTAGTAAGTAGACAGTGCACTAAGATGGTTGATTTGATGAGATACAAAAGAGGACCTAAGAAATAACGTTCGGAGTGATCTATAATAGACCAAACAGATGATGATATAACGTCGGCTTATGTGTCCGACTCAGGCAGTCACGTGCACACAAACACACATGTGTACGTACCAATGGACAATGGATCGATCCAATTCGCCGAAAGAGATATAGGTCTACCAGTAAATATGCACTCGCACTCACTTTGACTTGCCTTTATGAGCGGATCTCGGTATACATATAGTGGCGAATGAAGCGTGACCTGAAAAGCTTGGAAACACCAGGCAACTGTTTCCAACTCATTGAGTTCCATTAGCAGTACGAATCGATCCACCCAGCTGAGCATCGAACCCGAGACCGCCCGGGTAGAATGCAAGCACACTGCACAATTCACCACTCAAGGGCAGCTCTTCTGTCGTCCCGTTCAATACCATACCTAACCTGTCGGAGACTTATGTGGTTCTCCACTCCTAGCCCCCGGGCTTAGGTTGCCAGTTTCCACCACTGAACAGCAGGTCCTCTTGACTATGGGGTTCGCCCCATCTGCTGTTCATCACACTTACGTGTGTAATAAAAAAACTCATCAAACCTTTTTCCTTTTGTCTATATCTTAAATAGCGCAGCCTATCTAGCATGTTGAGAACATCACTCCTGACGTATCTCTACACTAACCTCCAGGGTTATGACTCAGTTGGAAATATTCCAAACCAGACTACTCGATACATGAGAGTTGAACCATATCATGCATAGACAAGATTAAAAAAGAAACGGTCTAGTCAACTGACCGGTGACCGAGTGGGTAGTAGTATATTTTTCATTATTCACCTGAGTGTGATGAACAGCAGACGGGAGGAACCTCATAGTCACGAGGACCTGTTGTTCAGTGGTGGAAACCGAAAACCTTGGCCCCGGGACTTGGAATGGAGAACCACATAAGGCCCCAATGGGTTAGGTATGGTTTTTAACCGGACGATAGCAGAGCTGCCTACCACCAAAGTTGGGCCGCGGTGGCGCGGTTCGAAACTCGGACCATAGGGTCCAAAGCACACCAGTGACAGCGACTAAACCACTGCGCCACCACCACCCTTGCGTTCTACCTTTGCGGTAGATGGCTTCGCACTGCTATTGGGATCTAAGGTGAAAACAGCTATTCAGTAGTGCTTCCAGTCTTTTCAGTTCATGCTTCATCTACTCAGCACCCGACGAAATCTAATAAAATCAAATCCACCGTTTCTCTCACGCATTAAAGATAGGTTGTGTATGGTTTGGGTTCATACCACATCCATTACAGTGCATGTGGCTCAAAACGTGAGGAATGAAATTTAGGCTGTCGCATGATTTCGATCAATGCCTGTTTACAAACTCCAGTTTTCATTGGTGGAAACAGCTACGAGGACAAAAGGACCAGGTAGTTCTGACCGGGACTCAATCGGACGAGATTAGATCTCGGTGACCTTGATAATCAGATAGTTTATCGTCGAACCGTAGCATACAGCAATAACGAATACGAATGTAACAAACGTGTGTGTGTGTGTGTGGAATCATGTGGCTGAATTCTATTTCGAAATCCAGTCAGCTCATCATGGAAGGTGTGACGTAAATCGAAATAAAATGGATAGTGAACTGACTGATTAGAAGTAATGTCTACAGCAGCAGACCGTGAATTTTAATTAAACATCTCATTTATAAATAATGACTTCTCAACCATTCATTTCCTTTGAAGAAACCATATTCATTTACCATAATGACGAACGAAACGAAGCATTAAATGTCGGTGGCGAATTTCCGACTCTCTCTCTCTCTCTGAGGTCTTTCTGAAAACGATTAATTGGTTGCAAGCAATTGTAAGGTATTCAAAAGGATGTGATGGGCCAATTTTGTATGGGCATATGCCCTTAAGCGGTCGTTCAACGTTTAATGACTTCCCGGAAACTGTGGATCGCAGTCTTCCCGATGGACAATAAAAAGCCAGTATCATTTTGGCCCAACGAAACAACCTCCATGGCTTTGGTCCCCATAGAATAACCTAGTCAATCTCCCGTTACTATGGTGCATTCAAACATTCCTATACAATCTGTATATTTATCACTGGGATATATGCTTCCGGAATCAGTCCGTTTACTGCCACTGGGAATAAATTATGAAAACTAACGAGTCTGTCTTTTTTGAGGAGGTAGTAGGGGTTATTAATACACTAAAGACGAGAATATTTGATCCTCGTGATAAATATCAAATGTTCTCACGGTATGGATCAATCACCAATTTGGATAGGACTCATACAATAATTTGATTCAACCATTTGGTACCAAACAGAATTCCGGACTTCGTCTTCTCGTGCGGGAGACACTTGCTGTGCATTGTCTCTCGCAATTTCGTTGAACCCAATAGTGGGCTCACACGGGAGGACAACAGGCTGGTACACGCAAATCACCGATCCCGGATAATGGTCGCAATGGCGAAAACACACGCACACAGCACGCACAGAACGAATGACTCACCTGTTCCGCGTCACACATCTCCCATTGACTGCGAGATAACTCATTCAGCGCGACGTAGAACGCGTGGACCAGTTTTTTCTGTTCCACCTGATTCGCTTGATAGGTTTTGGCCAACTGAATGTTCTCGCGAACCGCTTCGGTCAGCTGATTCTGTGTTGAGGCAGTCGGGTGAAATACATGTGATGTGCGGATGGTGGACAAGGAGAACTACCGCTCAAAGTGAAGAACACCGACCTAGAATGTAGTGTAGGCGCCAACTTTTATTCGAACTATTTGAACGGATGCTTTTAGAAAGTATTCCACGCGAGGTAAAGAGAATTCAAAACTAAAATGCAGGGCGAATGATGAACACATGTGCCAAAAACGGTTTGGTACTACAGGAATCCGATAGACACAAATTAATCGTAATATTCCAGAGAGAATCGATAATCTGATTTCCGTAAGTTGATTTTTATTCGCAACCTATTTTTTTATATGTTTATTTTACATCATTTTTCCGCAAGTATTCGTTGTCCAACATTTAGGTTTAAAAGCTTGCCATGAAAAATGAAAGATCTATTCGCATTGCACTGTATTGACGAAATCTGCAGCCAGGTAATATATGATACATATAATCTGTTACATTTATTTATTTACTTATTTTTGTATTCTTTGAATCTACAAGTGTACAGTCAGCTTTCAGGCAGGTGGCTCGTGGCCATACAAGGGCTGTTGCGAATAAACACGAGGTCCGAGAGTGACACGTCACGTCATGTCACAAATGACGAGAGATTGGATGGTATGTGTGAGCTTTCGCGGTGTATAAGGAATCGGTTTTGGATGAGGTATGCCTTCATGTTTCGTCCTCTCGACTGATGCAGTTTGGGTCACCAGTAATTAGCAATGAATCGGTAAGTATCCCTTTTCTATATGGCCCAAAACCTCGATTAAGAATAATTGGTTTTGGAAAGTTATAGAATATACTTTAGTGATACAATACACAGCGTTCCTCTCAATGGTTCTGAAGTCAACAATATTTTATGCGCGCCTGGATTTTCCATTATGTTCCGTTAAGCGTTGCTTTAGTTGAAGATCTTTGTTCAAAATAAATGACTGGAAATAGTCCACTTTTTATATTGTAGTTTATATTCAGTCGATCATGCTTCGATCATTTGTCCTTAAATAAATGATTGTTCAAAATACGGCTCGTATACTGAAACCAGTTAAAGTTCGTTCGATGTTTTCTGATGCACTGCAGTGAAACAGTTGACGCTATCCACTACGTTGCTTTGACTTCATTGAGCATAAAAGAATCGATAGAAAAAACAGATTAAAAGGGACCACAATATGAACGATCATTTCACTCTCATTCATACGACTCAAGTTCAACGAAGCACATACGGACGATGATTGGGAAATAGCAAATACCGGTTATCACGGTCGTACATTATACTGTGTTTCAAAGCTGATTCCCATTATCTGCAACTGAGACACGGAGATCGCGCACGAACATGCATTCTTCCGGATCGGGATGGACCAATGATGTTTTGTTCGGTTCCAAACGCAGAAAAAACAACCGTACAGTGACCTCTCGTTTAGCAATGCACAAAAGCCCTGTAAGGGTGTCTGACAGCGAGAAGGTGCCTGCCGTCGTACAACAAAAACACGTTTGGACCGGACGTCTCCGACAAAATGCTGGAGAGGTGGTCGTATTAATGTTAGACGCAAATCAGGAATCGGGATTAGAAGCACAATCGTAATCGAAACACGGAACCTCACTGGGTAATTGGATTCCGAAATCTTACATCACCATTTGGAGCTGTATCGAGTCACTCGTTCTCTCGTGATTTCACGCAGATGTTCAGTACATCAACACGTTGCTACTGTGGTGATCCAGTTCTACGAGATGACGCTTACCCCGGAGCGGCGCGTTACAGTTTTTGGACACCTGTGATCAATCGAATTTCAAAGGTGATGTCAATGACGCGTGTACGTGCCACTGCTTCTGGCACATCGTGCCAGCCAATCCGAGACAGTGCAGTCCAAACAGAAACAGAATGATGTAAATAATACTGGAATGCGATTGGTGGAAGTCTGTATAACAAATGATCTTCTTTCGTACATACTATTTATTAGCCCTCATTTCTTTCAATAAACGAACTACCATTCCTGTGACCTTTTCCTCGAGTCTCAGTTACGTGGGACATTGCGTGCTAGTGCCATTGCGGTCCAGTGTTTATGTGATCCAGTCCGTGATTGCTGGTCCTTGATTCGTATTCCGGGGTTCGTATTGCGTGGTTTGTATTCCGAGTCCAGTGCGCTACTACTACTACTACTACTACTACTACTACTACTACTACTATCATTACAGCTGCTTGTGGTTGGAGTGTTAAGTTCGGTATGTTGATATTAGTCGAAGCGAATGTATGAAGATGTTGATGGCATTTGCCACCGTTAAACCAACTCCTCTAGTAGTGGTTCGGGTGCGATTCGCCAAACAGATTAGGGTTTTCGCAACTGGGGATGTAAGTTTTTGCTAAGCAATTAGTTTTGCTTTGACGTTTTCAGTAGTAATGGTTACTTTGGCCAGCGAAGAATATGGAAGATGATGCAACGAGCAACGGAAGCTGCACAATCGTTACATTTGATTCAGAAAAATCTTTGGAATACTGAGTTTTCAGCAGTTTAGGTGCTTCCGTTGGAGTGATTGCATCTCTCAGAACGCAGCTTAGTACTGGTAGGCCAAATTTAACTGCCCGAGTTGAGTGAACGTGCTTATATAACAGCCTTGGGGTGAGTGATGAATCTCTGTGCCTCTTGGTAAATCAACTTATCCTCAAGAACCAGCCTGGTGCAGTGGTCGCTTATCATTCGAAAATCATTTCAAGTGACAGCATCCGGAAGACGTTTACAATCTCGCCACGATAGATCACTCAGAGATATCTGTTTCCTAGGGAGATCTCGAATAGGTGATGCAAGATTTTGCGAAAACCCTAGAATTAGTCACTAAGGTTAGCAGATTTGTCAGACTGACAATAAAGTTCTGCCAGGAGACCAGTGGGTTATTGTGGTGATCCAGGTCTACGTAATGACGCCTACCCTGGAGCGGCACGTTATAGTTTCAGGACATTTGAGATCAATCAAATTTGAATGCTGACGTCAATGACACGCGCATGGCTTCTGAATACACATCATTGGTGGATCGTGCCAGCCAATCCAAGACAGTGCAGAATTATGCTAGCAGTACTGCAATCCGCTTGGTGAAGGCCTAGATAACCAATAATCTTCTGTACATATTATTTAATCGCCCTCATTTCTTCCAATAAACGAACTACTATTTACTACCATTCCTGTGGTCTTTTCCTCGCGTCTGGTTCTAGTGGGGCATTGCGAACCCGTGCCGTTGCGGTCCAGTGCTTCTGTGATCCAGTCCGTGATAGCTGATTATTGATTCGGGTCTTATGATTCGTATTGCGTGGTTGGCGTTCCGAATTCCGTGCGTACCACCACGACTACTACAATCATTACAGTTGTGTTCCTAGTTATGGGAAACCCAATGAGTAGAAAGCGCTAATTTTTGCAATCTTGTATAATCTAGGGATCTTTGAGTGTTGTTAGGAGAACTTTTTTTAATAGAAGTACCAAATATGTTTGAATGAAAGTACTGCGTGATCACTGCGTCCTGGGGAAGGGAGAGGGAGACTGATAGAGTCCACCACCAACTCTTCGTTTATCAGCACCAAACCCACTAATAATAGTAACTGCAGCTTTACGAACCCGATAATCACTTCACATTATTGTACAGTGGATGCGAGTCATCACGATGTCGAATAATAATAATAATAATAATAATAATAATAATAATAATAATAATAATAATAATAATAGTCTTTTTACTTCCTTTTGTATTTATTGAATGTA